CGTCTGGCTCGCCGCGACACAAAAGACAACGGATATCACGCGGGCGGGACAGAGACGCGCAGCATGCGAGCCAAATGGATTTGTTCTTCAGTCCGATCGTGAGCTGCTCGTGGGCAACGAAACCAGGATCTGCTGTTTTGCCTTGAGACCATGGAGAGTGTGCGAGGTTCTTCGGGCGGAGCGCTGAAGAAGGAACTCTTTTCGTTGGGTAGGGGCTCCGTGTTCCTTAATTGTTTCACAGTTTGCCCCACGTTTTCCTTAGGCTTCCGAAAAGAAATCAAAGTTCAACTTCTGGAGAAGAAAAGGGGCCCCGTTCCTTATTTAGGGTTCCTTAGGCCAGCGCCCCGACTTTACGCGCACTGATTAGACACGCGGCGTTCTGCGCGCCCGTGGGCCCGCGCGGCCAAGGCCGAGCGACGGGCGTCGCGGCCAGCGCGCCTAGCAAGTCCAGACCCCCAGGCTTAGGAGCACTGGGATCGTCCTCCAGGAAGTTTTGGTGAAGTGGCCCCAGGACACACAAAGAAAACACACACACAAATAAAAATATCCCCCATATTTTCCCATATTTTCTGGGTTTTTGTCTTCCCCCCCACTTCCCATATTTTCCTGGGACTCGAAGATTAATTGTGTCTGTGTATTTTTCCCTCCTGATTTTGTTCCAAGTGGAAACCCGGACGTGGATGGCAAGTGGCAAGACCACGCACGAGTGCTGGCGAATGGACTGCCTGTTGGCCCCGAGGGGCTCCTGCGGGTGGAGCTCAATATCCACACCCTTCACAAGGGCGCCGCGTACCACTCGAAGCGGCAAGTAAAACTCCGTGAGTACCATTTCCATGCCCACAGGGAGGACGCCGGGCGAGCTTGGCGGTCGCACCAATTTTGTTGCAGGCGTATGTCGTCGCAGTCTTGCTGGGTGAGCCTAGCTGAAATCAGGTCAAAACATCATGATAAGTATCATGTCTGGATGAGCAAAGACCAGAATGGCGCCAGATCAGGACAGCTGGACTGGTGAGAATCCGATGCCCCTGTCACAAGTTCTGGACCTGCTCTGGATGAAATCCAGCCCAATCACAATAGTGAGTCTCATTTCTGGACCTGCGAGGGCTGAAATCGTGCCAGAAAACTCACCCCCCCTGTGCAGATTCTGCTGAAAGGAATATTTGAACTCAAATACAAAACACTTTAGTGAATTTGATTTCTGGACCAAATCGAACCAGCACACCATACATAGTGAACCTCATTTCTGGACCAAATCGAGCCAGAACGCGAAAGTGAGTCTCATTTCTGGGGATCTGCGAGGGCAGCAATCGTGCGAGGGCAGCAATCGAGCCAGAACACCATAACGACTCGATTCGGGACCGCCGTCGGACCTCGGGGATCTCCTGATCCGGGTCAATGCGACCCTGCCCCTGCAGGATCCTGCAAGAACGGGCGCTCTGGCTGACCCCCGTTTGCATTGACCCCCGTCTCAGGGCTCCCGAGGACCAGTGAGACGCCTGCCCCCGGCCCCCCTTCTGTGAAGATTCTAATGAAAGCGATCTGCCAACACGGTTAGAGACCTCTAGCGCAATTCTGTTAGGGAATGTGGCTCTCGCCTCAACGCCGCGCACATTCGTCTTCAGTGTTTGCAACAGTTTCAAGGATTCGTGTGGCTGAAGTCCCAGGGCTGACGTTCTGGCACGATTGAGCAACGGTATCCTTGATTCGCGATGTTGAAGTCCCAGTAAATGTGTTCGGCCACGGCTTTAGGATTGTCAGGACGCTAGAGTCTCTCTGTTTCGCGGCGTTGATCAGGAGAAGTGTTTCGGTACGACCAACGATTATCATGCGATTGTCTTCTAATGGGACGCTTCCCGCAATGAAAATCCACCACCGTGCCTCTGGGCACGGAGTGGGCGTGTCCTCAGGTCCTTTGCCTGATCCCTAAAGCCTCAGTCTTTAGTCCTGAGAAGTCTTCAAATGACCCAGATCCCAAATTGCCAACTCTCCTAAGAGTTTGGGGCGTGCCCCCCTGGGCTCCCCCACATCTCCCCGTGTGACGCTTTGGGGCCCCAGAGGACCCCAAGACGGGCCAAGATGGCCCCAAGAGGCCGTCAAGACGCCCCAAGAGGGCCCCGAGTCGCGGAAAGATCGGCCACATACGCCCAAGATGGCCTCAACACGGCCCCAGAGGCCAGAAGACGCCCAAAGAGTGTTCCAAGAGGCGTCCCAAGAGGGCCACACGAGGCGACAATCATTGATTTTTGTCACAGGTGTCTGAAAGCTTTTGGTCTTCTTGCCTTTTCGGCTTTCCGACGCTCCAAATCATCTCACGAGGCCCCCAAGACCGCCAAAAGAAGGTCCTAGAGGCCCCCAAGAGGGCCCCAAGACGGCCCAAAAGGGCCCCAGGACGGCCCACGAGGCGCCCAAAATGTTCTCAACGTCCGCTCCCTCCTCCTCCTCCTCCTCCTCCTCCTCCCTCCTCCTCCTCCTCCTCCTCCTCCCTCCTCCTCCTCCTCCTCCTCCTCCTCCTCCTCCTCCTCCTCCTCCTCCCTCCTCCTCCCCCTCCTCCCTCCCTCCCTTCCTCCCTCCCTCCCTCCCTCCCTCCTCCTCCTCACCTTCCTCCTCCGCCTCCTCCTCCTCCTCCTCCAACTCATCCTCGTCCTCCTCCTCGTCCTCCTCCTCATCCCCCCCTCCTCCTCCTCCTCCTCCTCCTCCTCCTCCTCCTCATTACCATCAGCAACAACAGCAGCATCAGCATTCGCGTCATCGTCATCGTCATTATCATCATCAGCATCACCATCATCATCATCATCATCATCATCATCATCATCATCATCATCATCAACAACAACATCATCAACAACATCATCAACATCAGCAATATCAGTATCATCAGCAACATCATCATCATGATCGTCATCAGCAGCATCATCACCGTCACTCTCATCATCACCAGCAGCAGCAGCAGCGTCAACGACAATATCATCATCAGCAGCATCAGCATCAGCATCATCATCATCCCCATCCCAATCCGCATCCGCAGTCTAATCATCAGCATCAGCAACATCATCATCAACAGCAGCAGCATCATCGGCATCATCATCATCATCATCATAATCAGCATCATCAGCGGCCGCATCATCAGCATCATCATCATCATCACAATCATCACCAACATCATATCGCCGTCGTCGTCATCATCAACCTCATCATAACAGTTTTCGTTATCACCAACACCATCGCCAGCAGCAGTCGTCATCCTCAACCGTTGCATCATCATCGTCATCGTCGACATGACCACCATCACCATCACCACCAGTATCACCATGATCACCATGATCACCACCATCGTCATCATCATCGCCACCACCATCATCCTCTCCCAAATCCTTATCAGCAGCATCATCATCCTCAGCATCAGACTCATCGTCGCCATCATCAACAACATCATCATCAACAATATCGTCGTCATCATCAATATCAGCATCATCATCAACATCAGCATCATCGTCCTCGACATCATCATCATCATCATCATCAGCATCAGCAGCATCATAATCATCATAATCATCATCATCATCATCATCAGCATCGTTATCTTCACCAGCATCAGCTTCATCATCATCCTCGTCATTAGCATTATCTTCATCAGCATCCCCATCCTCATCCTCATCCTCATCCGCATCGTCATCTTCACCACCATCATCATCATCATCATCATCAGCAGCAGCAGCAGTACCAGCATCAGCATCCTCATCCTGATCGGCATCGTCCTCCTCCTTCTCATCATCATCATGTTCTTCTTCTTCTTCTTCATCATCATCGTCATGATCATCATCACCAGCATCATCACCATCATCATCACCATCTCCGTCCTGCTTCTCTGACTCGTCGTCATCTCCTCCTCCTCCTCTTCCTCCTCGTCCTCGTCGTCCTTCTCCTTCAGTACTCCAGTACTCCAGTACTCCAGTACTCCAGTACTCCAGTGCTCCTCCTCATCATCATCACCATCCCCCTCCTCCTCCTCCGCCTCCTCCTCCTCCTCATGATCGTCAACATCATCATTATTATCATCAGCAGCATCAGTATCAGCATTATCATCATCACCATCATCAGCAGCATCATCAGCATCATCAGCATCAGCAGCATCTTCATCTTCATCTTCATCTTCATCATCATCAGCATCTTCAGCATCATGATCACCATGATCATCAACACCATCAGCATCACCATCATCATCGTCATCACCATTATTACCACCACCACCACCACCATCATCATCAGCATCATCATCACCACCGCCACCCTCATCATCATCAAAATCAGCATCAAAATCATCATCATCATCATCATCATCATCATTATACCTCCTCCTTGTCATCGTCGTCATCCTCGGCCTCGTCATCACCATTCCCCTCCTCCTCCACCTCCTCCTCGTCGTCACTTGTTATCATCACCATCAGCATCAGCATCAGCATCAGCATCATCATCTTCATATTCATCATCATCTTCATTATCATCAGCATCATCATCATCAGCATCATTATCATCACGATCGTTATCACCATAATCATCGCCATCATCATCATCACCACCATCATCATCATGATCAGCATCAACATCATCATCACCACCACCATCATCATCATCATCACCATCCTCATCATTTTCATCTTCATCACCACCACCACCATCATCATCATCGTCAAAATCACCATATGCATCATCAACATCGTCATGATCATCATCAGCAGCATCATCATCACCAGCCTCATCATCATCACCATCACCATCACCATCACCATCACCGTCATCATCATCATCATCATCATCATCATCATCATCATCATCATCATCATCATCATCTCACCTCCTCCTCATCATCATCCTCGGCCTCGTCATCATCATTTCTCTCCTCCGCCTCCTCCTCACGCTCATCTGAACCCTCCTCCGCCTCTCTGCCTCGTCCTCGCTCCTTCTCTTCTACCTTTTGCCTCCTCCTCCTCCTCCTCCTCCTCCGCCTGCATTTGCCTGCACTGCAGGCCCACGAAGTGGACAGGGGCTGGCTCGACGGCCACGCTCCTGTCCAGGGCCGTGGGTCTGCCATCTCTCTCTCTCCACGTCCGGAGGCTGGAGCACGCAGGGCTGGAGGATCGCGCAGCATCGCCGATGCAGTGGCGATGCATCAGCGACGTCGGGGTTGAGAGAAAGATCGGCGGTGCGGCGCGACCCTCCGCACCCACGCGCTAAGGCCGCGATTGGGCGGCCCACAAGACCCCACCCCTACAGAGAGCTGCGCTCGGGCGCCAACCCTCAGCCTTTGACCTTGCGGCGCTTCCTCTTGGCGGTGGCCGCCCTGGATGCCTGCCCTCCCCGGAGCCGACGCTTCTGGACGGGGATCGGGAGTGGGGGGAGGAGGGAGAAGAGGAGGGGGGAGGAGAAGAAGTAGGAGGAGGGAGGAGGGGAAGGAGGATGGAAGATAATGGAGGAGGATTGAGGAAGAGGCGCCAATTCCGCAATCGCGGGTAGCCGCGGATGCTGCGCGAATAAAGAAGCGATGTGCTCCTGATGCTGGGCATATGCTGGGTGGTCAGATGTGTAGCCACCCAACTCTATCATTCGGCAATTATCGAGTGCGACAGCGAAACGAAAGAAGCTCGTGGGACTGCCTAAGCGTCGGTGGAACAACTCTTCCTCCATTCGGCCTTCCATGGTAAGAAAGGCACGCACGGCGCAACGAAGACGAGGGGGAAGCACAATAGTGATCCGACGAGTCTGGGGCATCTGGGAATCGATAGTTGAGCAGGCAGGGATGCACTCGTGCCTCGAGAGTTTTGAGGCTTCGGTGCTACCTATGAAATCACGAGCGAACGACGGCGAATCATCGAAGATGCTGGGGCATGGCGGCTAAAGGAAAGAGGACGGTCGGCCAATCGAAGCATGGAATATCGACTGGGCGAAGACGGTCAAAACGAGGATATAAACAGAGGGGGGAGCGAGAAAGCGAGAGAGAGAGAGAGAGAGAAGCAGAGAAAAATAAGATCCCCTCGCATCGAAGATCTGATGTCTGCGCCTGGAAGCCACTCTTCGATGGCCACTCGAAGCTCGGGAATGCTCGCAACTCCGCGGACTGCGCAAGTCCAGCACGGCGCGCACGGGATCACCTCGAAGGCTCGAAGGCCGCGTCGCGTCGGGAGGACAAAGGGCGTCGGACCTCGGCGGTCGTCCCACGTCTCGCCCTCGCCCCTCTCCCTCCTCCCCCTCCTCCTCCTCCTCCCTCCCCTTCTTCCCTCGCCTCCTTCTCCTCCCCCTGCTCCTCCTCCTCCTCCTCCTCCTCCTCCTCCTCCTTGTCCTCCTCCTTGTTGTCCTCCTCCTTGTTGTCCTCCTCCTCCTCCTCCTCCTCCTCCTCCTCCTCCTCCTCCTCCTCCTCCTTGTCCTCATCATCATCATCCCCCTCCTCCTCCCTCTCCTCCTCCTCCTCCTCCTCCTCCTCCTCCTCCTCCTCCTCCTCCTCCTCCTCCACCTCGCCCCTCTTCATCTCTGCGAACTGGCAACCGAACCGCCACTCGAACGACTTGTGTGCCGTGCTGCTGAGGGACGTCCGCGCAGGGCAAAGCGCACTCGTCGGAGAGCGAAGGCCCACGCCTGGAAGCCTGCACGCCGAAGTCGAGAAGAATGTGCTCGGAGGAGCATGCAATCCGCCACCGTGCCCTCAGCACGCAGTGGAGTGCACCAGGGCTCATGCAGTTCCGAGAGGCCCATGCAGTTCTGAAACGGTCTGTGAGGTTCCCAAGGGCGCGGCTGGGCGCTCTCAGGGTGTTACGCGTAGGCCTCTGGGACGGTGCCCCCACCCAGTGAGGCCCCTCAGCGGGTCAAGACAGCCCTGAGAAGGTCCCAGGATGGTCCAAGATGCCTCCGAGACGGCTCCGAAGCTTCCCCTGACGCCCAAGATGGTCCCAAGACAGCAGCCGAAGAAGCCTTCGAGACGCCCCAAGAGAGCTCCAAGAGCCTTCTCAAGAGGGCCCCAAGAGGCCCAAATCATTGATTTTCCTTAGGTTGTTCAAGGTTTCTTGGGTTCTCCACTTTTCGAGCTTCCGACGCTACAAGACGTCCCAAAAGACCCCCAAGACCGTCCCAAGACAGCCTCAGAAGCCACAAGATGGCCCGAAGACGGCCCAAGAGGCACCGAAGACGGCTCAAGAGGGCCTAAAGACGGCCCCAAGAGAGGGAACACGAACCGAAAATTCGAGGTTTCCGCCCCAAGGGGCGCCCAGGAGGCCCCAAGAGTCCCCCCAGAGGCACAAAAGAGGCCCCAAGACAGCCAGAGGCCCCAAAAGTGTCTCCAGGAGGCCCCTGAGAGGCGTCGACGAGGTCCCAACGAACATCCAAGCGGCCTCCGGCCCACAACCTGGGTACGGTGGCGGGATGGGCCGAAAGCCATTCGATACCTTCTTGATGATGCCCGCCTCCTTACTGGTCATGCTGGGTGGGAGTGGCGCAGGCTGGCTGACACACGTGAGGCGGACAACGCAACGCGCGTTGCTGATGAACGTTGACAGGGAGGGCGCGGCGCCCTCACGCACCTGCCTGGTGGCTCTGGATGTCCACTTCGCCACGGGCGCGTCCCAAGTGTAGTGAACCACCTCTGGGACATGGCACACCCCGAAATACTTTGCCGTTCCACGCGGAAACTGCTCCACTTCGGGATGTACTTGCGGATGTACAGTCGGACTTGATTGGACAGGACACGCGAGAGGACACAAGACCCTTCCGAGGGCCACATTGCCATAGGAACGCAGGAGGCATTGGTCGCGAGACACAGGACACAATAGTACCCTTGATCTGGCAAGGTCGACCTATCAACCCGGGCCGCCTGTAGTCGTCAAAAACCAGCATGTGCGCACGGCTCCGCATTCGGGAAGACTCCGCATTCGGGGCCGCGCCCTTCTCCGGGTCGAAGACAAGCCCAGACTGTGGGAGAGTCCAGGTGGTCTGTGACGACGCGCCGACGCTGTCCGATACGCACGCCTGTGTGAGCGCGCCCCCTCTGAGTTCCGCCATCATGCGCGGGAGCGGGACGAAGACCGCAGCGGGCATCCTTGCGGGGCGCCAGCCAGGACAGGGCCTATCAGGTCCAGGGAGGTGCCGATCAGCTCCGCGGTGCGAACCAGGAAACAGATCGCTCGAACCTTCGGTGGCACCTCATGGGGGCCTCCCATACCATCTCGTCGGCTCTTGCGAATCGACGCTAATCGACGCTAAATCGACGCCAGTGGACGCTAATCGACGCTATTTCGACGCTGATCAACGCTAGCCGACGCTACATCGGCGCTATCTTATCGACTCCCAAACGCTGATCGGCGCTATTCGACGCTAAAGACGGGCTTGAGAAAGCATACCAGGCTCCCATTATTTGCAACCGAACGAATCAGGTTGACGAAGGTGAAGGCAACTGCATGGCAGCGAGGGGGGGGAGGGGAGGGCGGCGAGGAAGGCCCAGAAGACTGCCACAGGCTGGAGTTGTCGATGCAACTGCTTACCGAACGCGCGAAATGCCGCGTCAAGGTCAGGAACGTTGCTGACAAGGTTGCGCGAGGGTGTAAAGCCAAACTGTATGGGGCGCATGCGCTGGGATTGTCATCGTCTGGTGGAGTAGTTCCAGGGCGCGCATATGACACTGGTGTAGGAGTTCCTCAGGTGAAGTGGGAATCTCGATTTGCCACTCTTCGCACCTCACAATCTAGCACCATTATATGCACAATATTCCTCCTCCTCATCTACATCCTCCCCCTGCTAATCACCACCACAGTCAGCACCGACACCACCACCTCCACCACCACCACCACCATCACCATCACCATCACCATCACCATCACCATCACCATCACCATCACCATCACCATCACCATCACCATCATGATCATCATGATCATCATGATCATCGTCATCATCATCATCACCACCACCACCATCATCATCATCACCATCATCCTCTCCGTCACCATCATCATCACCATCCTCATCATAATCACCATCATCATCATAGTGTAGTCCTCCTCCTCCTCCTCCTCCTCCTCCTCATCATCATCATCATCATCATCATCATCATCAGCACCATCACCATCATCAACCTCATCATCCTCACCATCAGCATCCTCAACATCTTCATGATTATCGTCGTCGTCATCACCATCATCATACTGATAATCATCATCAGCATCAGCATCATCGTCATCAACATCAGCATCAGCAACATCATCACCCTCGTCCTCCTCCTCCTCCTCATCACCAGCGTCACCACTATGACCGCACCAACACAAGCAACACCCACCATCCCTCATCATCATCAACACCATCACCGCCACCATCCTCGTCATCATCATCCTCCTCATCATCATCGTCATCATCGTCGTCGTTATCATTATTGTCATCGCCAGCGTCCTCATCTTCGTTATCATCAACGTCACCCTCATTCTCATCCCCATCGCCAGTCTCATCATCTTGTTTCTCATCCTCACCATTACTAGCGTCATCATCATCACCATCACCATCATTATCACCACCATCATCACCATCACCACCACCATCACTACCACCATCATCATCACAACCATAATCATCATCATCAGCAGCACCAGCAGATGCATCGTCGTTATCAGCATCGTCATGGCAAACATCAGCAACAGCACCACCACCGTCATCATCATCGTCAACATCATCACCATGATCACCATGATCATCTTAATGACCATCACAATCACCAGCGATATTACCAGAATCATCACGGTCATCAAAATCAGCACCACCATCGTCATCATCATCATCATCAACATCATCATCATCATCGTCCTTATCCCGATCCACGTCCTCGTCCTCATCCTAATCCGTCACATCCCGATCCATCATCATGATCAGAATCCTCATCCTCATCCTCCTCATCCTCCTCCTCATCATCTTCATCGTCGTCAGCATCACCACCACCATCATATGACCATCAACATCAGCATCGGCATCAACAACATCGTCATCAGAATCGTCACCGTAATCATCACGATCATCATCAGCATCATCAGCATCATGAGCTTCGTCATCATCATCATGTTCATCATACTTAGCATCAATATCAGCGTCAGCATCAGCATCATGCCCCTCCTCATCATCACCAGCATCATCATCAGCATCAGCAGCAGCACCACCATCCTCCTCCTAATCATCAACAGCATCATCAGCATCATCATCAGCATCATCACCTCGCCATCATCAGCATCATCGTCATCGTCATCATCATTATCGTCCTCTTAATCATCATCACCAAAACCACCAGCACCATCACCACCATCCGCATCATCAGCATCATCATCATCAGCTTCATGAGCATCGTCATCGTTATCATCGTCATTTCCCTCCTCCTCCTGCTCACCATCATCACCAACACCACAACCATCGTCATCCTCCGTTTCATCATCACCACCACCACCGCCATCATTATCATCATCATCATCACCATCATCATCATCATCATCCACATCATCATCACCACCGCCATTAGCCGCCTCCTCCTCCTCCCCCTCCTCCTCACCGCCACCATCATAGTCACATCGTCATAATCATCGTCACTATCTTCACAATCATCATCACCACCACCATCAGATCAACATCACGATCAGCATCGTCAGCATCACCTTGATCATGGTCATCATCGTCATCATCATCTTCATCATCGTCATCACCACTACTACCACCATCATCATCAGCAGAAGCACCATCATCATCACCATCATCGCCACCATCATCATCAGCATCCTCGTCAGCATCTGCATGAGCATGAGCACCATCATCATTACCATCATCATCATCCTTTTAATCATCACTACCACCAGCATACTCCTCCTCCTCCTCCTCCTCCTCCTCCTCCTCCTCCCACGCCGACTCACCACCACCATCAATGTCGTCATCAACATCGTCATCATATCCACCATCAGTATCATCACCACCACCATCAGCATCATCATCATCACCATCATCAGCATCATCATTATCGTCAACATCATTCTCATCATCATCATCATCATCACCAACATCACCATCATCCTCATCATCATCATGGTCATCGTCATCGTCATCACCACCACCATCATCATCAGCAACAACACCATCAACACCATCATCATCACCATTACCACCATCATCAGCATCCACGTCAGCATGAGTCTGAGCATCCTCATCGTTACCATCATCATCATCATCATCATCATCATCATCATCATCAGCATCATCATCATCATCATCATCATCATCATCATCATCTTCATCGTCATCATGAGCATGAGCATGAGCAGAATCATCATCATCAGCATCATCAGCAGCATCAGCAGCATCAGCATCATCAGCATCATCATAATCATCGTCATCAACATCATCATCACCATGACCAAGTCCAATACCATGACCATCACCAGTACAATGGCCACCATCATCCTCACCACCACCACCACCACCATCGTCATCATCAGCATAATCACCATCAACGTCATCTTCATCAACAGCACCGTCATCATTATCATCAGCATCATCATCAGCATCATCATCAGCATCATCATCCGCATCATCGTCATCATCATCATTATACGCATCAGCATTATCATCAGCATCATCATCATCGTCGTTGTCGTTGACATGATCATCAGCATAAGCATCATCACCAGCATCAGCATCAGCAGCAGCATCATAATCATCACCACCATCATCATCATAACCATGATTGCCATAATCATCATCACCGTCGTCGTCGTCACGATCATCATCACTCATCAGCAGCAGCAACATCATCACCCGAAGCAGCAACACCCTGATCATCATCACCATCACCAGCACCACCACCACCATCATCATCATTATCATGGTCATCATCGTCAGCGCCATACATATCAGCAGCATCATCGTAATAACGGCCATCATCGTCATCGGGATCATCATTACCATCATCATCATCATCATCATCATCATCATCATCATCATCACTATCGACACCATCGACACCATTACCAACCTCATCATAATCATCGGTCTCGCCATCGACTCTGGCAGCATGTCATCATCACCGTCCTCGTCAGCATCAGTATCACCACCGTCACCATCACCATCATCATCACCATCACCATCACCATCATCAACACCACCACCATCACCATCTCCATCAACACCATCACCATCACCAGCCTCATCAATTCCATCACCATCACCATCAACATCAACATCGTAATCATATGTTGTTGTTTTCTCTCTCTCTCTCTCTCTCCCACTGCTCTCCATGTGAGATTCCCTTTCTGCGTCTGCCCTCACGGCTGGCCTCCTTCGCGTCCGCGAGCTCCGCGTCCTCCTGACGGGGAGGATACGATAGGATACGAGAGGAGATGCCAACTAGGTGGAAGATGCGTGTCTGACCAAATCCACCTCTCAGGGAAGCAATCGAAGAACGAAGCCACAAAGAGAAGGCGTTGGCTCGTTCCACCCGGGGAGAGAGGACATCGGCAGACAATTTGGTCTCAAAAGCTTCCCATGGATACGACTCGGGCTCCGAGCAGGAGAAGGGAACAGACGGAAAACCCCGACTGCAAACCCGAATCCTTATCCTCTGTCTTCTTCTTCCTCCTCCTCCTCCTCCTCCTCCTCCTCCTCCCTCCAGCTCCAAGCCCAGGTCCAACCCTGAACTTCCCTGGGCCACCTCTGGAGCGCGGTTCTGGTTCCACCCACCCCTGTCGGCCACCGTTGATCGGAGAAACGACGTCCAAGGAAGGAGTATTCCGTGCCTCTCCAGGCTCCTCGTCCAGCTTCTCCATGTCCTCAGTCACGCACCACCTCGCGAACTTCTGGGTAAACCTGCCCCGACTCAGGGTCTTCGCATACATATCACGACGAACGATAAAACAGACAGACGAACGATAAAACAGACAGAAGTGGGGGAGGCGGACGAGGAACAGGCAGACCAACATCGGAACCAGAACCAAGAAGACCAGGATCGAGACCAAAGCCAACACGCTGAGAATGCGGACGCCATCGGGGAGATGGGCACGCCAAGCGCACCCTTCCTACCAACACTTCTCCGGCCTCTCGTCTCCACATGTCCTCTCCTGCTTCCGTGCCCGCCTGCTTATACCTGGGGGGGAGGTTGAAAGGCAGTATGCCAGGGGGGGGAACGAGCAGCGCACCCCCGTTCTGCATCGAGCGCGAAGGGGGGAACACTGGGGGTGGCCGATAGATGCGCCGGGTCACCAAGAGGGTGCCGCTTCCCTGCCCTCCTCTCGACGAGCTTGAGATTGGCGATGTCCTTAGTCTTGTACTTCAAGCAGACTATGTCGTTGGTGACCTTCAGCACGACCCTGTGCGTGCTATGCTTGTACGTTATGAGGTACCTTCGGGGCTTTCAAGAACGCCCGCGAGGGGTGCAAACGTTCAAGATGGCTCCAAGACGGCCCAAGACAGCTCAAGAAGATAACCTCCAACATGCCTCCAAGAGGCCCCAAGACCGCCCCAAGACGGCTCTGAGTGGTCACGGAGCCTCCTCCGTAGGGACGCTCCCGAGAGGCCCAAATCCTATGGAACATCAACGGGTGGTGTCGTCTCGCCTTTTCGCTTCCGATGGGCCTCTGAGGCCTCAAGATGGCTCCGAGACGGAAAAAGGGAGCCCGAAGGGGCCCAAGAGCGCCCCAAGAGGCGACTCTTCGGACCAATCGGAGGAAGGGACACGCGTCGCCGCCGCCCCCTTCCCTCGACGGCCTCAAAGATGGTCCCTGGAGGGCCCCAAAAGACCCCCAAGAGGTTTCCAAGAGAGCCCCCAGGGCCTCCAATATGGCACCAATATGGCCCAAATAAACTGCCGAAGTGCTGCCACATCGAACAATCCGCAAATCATGTATGGCTGGCTCCTGAGCCTGCTCGGGCTGATCCCGATCTTCGCTTTGACGAATGCCCCCCTCTTTGTTCCATTGCTTGCTTCTACACGTCCTGGATCAAAACTACCCGCCTGGGCATCGTTTCTGATTGGACTGGTGGCAGGCCTGAAAGGAAACCAATGCACAGTAGTCACATGTACGTATGGTCTTTCCTACTGCTCCTTTCTCCTGCTCTCCTCCTCCTCCTCCTCCTCCTCCTCCTGGAGCAGGACTTGCACTGGCGGGAGCCCGAAGCTTAACGAAGTCTGGCTCGCCGTGGATGCTCTCAGTGTGGTCTGTCTTTTTCAATTAAGCCCGTCCGCCGTGCGATAGTCTCATGGTCTCGTGCCAAGGGGGCGTACACCTCGTCGTGCCCGCACGCGGGTATGTATGTGAGATGTGCCAGAATATATATATATATATATATATAATATATATATATATATATATATATATAGGTTGCTTTCACTGCCGTGCTCGACGGCAGCCTGTCCCCAGACCAGACCTGTGGCCAGGAACAGAGCAGTATAGCCGAAAATGAAAGTCCTCCTCCTCCCCCATTCCCTCCCTTCCTCCCTCCATCCTTCCTCCTCCCACCTACGACCTCCCTCCTCCCTCCTCCTCCTCCTCATCCTCCTCCTGCTCCTCATTTATCCGCCAACCTCCACCCTCCTCCTCCTCCCTCCTCCTCCTCCTCCTCCTCCTCCTCCATCCATTTTCTTGATAGATAACTGCTCTCTGTCGCACCTCCAGACGTGTCGGTAGAGCGGGCCGGGCGTTTCGGCTGAGAGTTCCTTGCCATTGTTCCTTTTCCAACACAGATTTGGAATGGGAAGGATGGAGCGTACACATCCAAGCAACGATATCGGTGAGCCCAGCGTGTAACCGCAGTGCGATCAGCAAGAACCAAAACGCGCGGAGAGGTGTATTGTATTGCCAACGTGGCCGAAAATTTGGCCCAGAATTGGGTGTAGGAGGAGGAGGAGGAGGAGGAGGAGGAGGAGGAGACATGGGAGAGCTGGAAGAAGACACAGGGAACAGAGGAAGAAATGACCCGACTGACGCTACGCGGATGAGCCAAGCGGGGATTTGTGGTGCGGCGTGCGTACAACTATCTGGACTGAGCCAATGTTACCTGCGTTGGTTCCCTCCTTCAACACGGAACGAAAATCTGCCGACCCAGTCAGCGTGTGTGGAACGTTTTTCCGTTTGAGTCGTCGTCGTCGTCGTCGTCGTCGTCGTCGTCGTCGTCGTCGTCGTCGTCGACGCCACTCTCCCCCTTTCCCTGGGCCCTCCCTCTCAAGCGACCCAGCCAGACGGAAATCGAACAACGCCGTGTTCGAGTCGCAGGGAAGCCCCTTCTCTGTGGATGTCCCCAAGGGGGGTCCTGTGGGGGGTCCCAGGGAGGATCCCGGGGGGGTCGCCGATAGGGCCCTGAGGGTCGTGACACCCCCTCTCCGACCAACACGCCCCAAGAGAGCCCCACGGAGCCGCAAGAGGGGGACACCAGTCGAATCGAAGAGAAGCCTCCCTTTGATCCCCGGCAGGGGGGGGGGATCCAGGGGGGGTCCCGAGGCCAACGGGGCCTACAAGGGCCCCCTCAACAGCTCGAGAGCGTCGTCGTCGTCGTCGCCGTTGCCGTCCCCCTTCAGGGTCGGCGGCTCCATCCGTAAAGCCTTCACAAGAAATTAGCGTGGCCCCATGCCCGACAACGTTCAATGGGGGAGGGGAGGAAGCATGGAGGGGAGGTGGATAGGGAGAAACGGATGGGACAACGTAGTGTTGTGCGCACACACTCGCCAACTGAACGTGATGAAATTGTGGACGGGCGCTGCAGTGCCCGACCAACGCGACGCTGCTCCGCAGCGTGTGACCAGGGCGAGCCCTGGCAAAGCAGCCTGGAGTAGGCCAGACCTCCTTGCCACTTATGAGACTGACGCTTGCAATTTGCATCAGCTACAAGGACGAAGAGGGAGTCGTTTTCGAACTGAATCGTTCGCCTTAGCGCCGCGCATACAGGTCTTTTACGCTTGCAACATTTCCAGGGATAGAGGGGGATCGTTTTCAAAGTGGAGCTGTTGCCTGAGCGCCGCGCATTTTCGCCCTAAACAACGGCAGCACCTAGCCAACTACAGAGATGGAGGGGTCGCTTTCAAAATAGAGCTCGTGCCATCGCACCGCTTACACCTGTCTGAACATCTTACAACAGTTCCGAGGATGGAAGGCGGCTCCTTTTCGAGATGGAAGGTTGTTTCCCAAAATAGGGCTTTCGCATGAGACTTTTTAACCCGTGAGGCCCGATAGGTGTAGCAATTGCACGGGTAGAGGGCGACTACTTACCGGAATGGGGATCTCGCTTGAGACTTCCTCGGATATCATGGCCAGAAGTGCAGACGTGCGCAACAGTCAATTACATGGATGGCAGTATTTTCAAGGCGGGGATGTCGCTGGGCACCTAGCTCAGTAATATGATTACACCTCGTCGCATTCCTAATTTCCCGCCGAACACTAGACGGATGCAAGGCAGCTCCTACTCGAAACAGAACTCCCGGCCGCATGGCAGGCCAGTGGGTTGCTGGTCATTCAGGGGGGCGCTTCTCGTAGTCAAGTAAACCTGTTGGCACTTACGAGGAGGGGACTTGGGGCGGGAGAGTGTTTTGTAGTATCGAGTATAAACATCGGGTTTGGTCTGGTCCTCCCCTCCTCCAGCTCCTGCTGCTCCTCCTCCTCCTCCTGCTGCTCCTCCACTTCCTCCTGCTGCTGCTCGTCCCTCCTGCTCCTCCTGCTGATGATGCTCCTCCTCCTATCCTCCCTCCTCCCCCCTCCCCTCCTCTCCTCCCTCCCTCCCTCCTCCCTCCTCCCCCTCCCCCTCCTCCCCTCCCTCCTCCCCTCCCTCCTCCCTCCTCCCCTCCTCCCTCCTCCCTCCTCCCTCCTCCCTCCTCCCTCCTCCCTCCTCCTCCCTCCTCCCTCCTCCTCCTCCTCCTCCCTCCTCCCCTCCCTCCTCCCTCCTCCCTCCTCCCCTCCTCCTCTCCTCCCTCCTCCTCTCCCTCCTCCTCCTCCTCCTCCTCCTCGTCCCCTCCTCCTCCTCCTCCTCCTCCTCCTCGTCCCGCCTCCTCCTCCTCCTCCTCCTCCTCCTCCTCCTCCTCGTCCCTCCTCCTCATCCTCCTTCTCCTCTTCCTCCTCCTCCCTCCTCCCTCCTGCCATGAAGGACCCGTGCCGTCCCGCTGCCCTTGAGCTGGGCTGACGGGAGGACGCGGTCGGGGACGACAAGGCCGCGCGCTTCCACCTCGCAGGGCAGCATCGAGCATGGCTTCGGGGAGGAAGCTTCCCGAGAGTGGAGGCGGCGAGCCTTAAGTCTCCACTTCTGTCGACTCGGCGGCGGCGCTGCCTGCGTTGCCGTCGTTCCCATTTCTCAGCCACGTCCTGGTTCGAGGAGACGTAAGACCGTAAGACTCGGGTTCGGGGGACTCGGGTTGGCCTGACGGGGCCATCATGAAAATGACGCGACCCAGTCTGAAATTTGACGCAAACTCCCGCTGCAGACATCCTACGAAAAATGGGACCGTCAAACTCCAAGACGGGCTCGTCAGAAAGCGTCGGCAAACCCGAGTTCCGGCGCACTCGAGTCTTACGTTTCCCCGACTGGTGAGAAGAAATCCCGACGCCCGGCGCTGTAACTGCAAAGCTGCTTCCGCAGACCTGCCCGGGCGGCGAGAGTGAGGATGCGAAGGGGCTTCCACCGCCGAAGCCCGCTCGGGTGAGGCCGAGCCGCGGGACCCCGACGCAACGGACGAGCTCGAGAAGCTGGCCAGCGAGCACGCCGTGAAGCAGCACGTGGAGGGCCTCTGTGATCGCGATGTCGCTCCGCTCGGGGAGACGTGAGACTTGGGTTCGGTGGACTCGGGTTGGCCTGGCGGGGCCGTCAAGAAAAATCAAGAGAATGTCGGGACCCGGTCTGAAATTTGACCCAGTCGGCAAGCTCGAGTTTCACGTTTCCCCGATCCGTCCGCCGACGTGGAGGAGGAGGCCATGAGCAATACCGAGGAGCTGACCGAGAAGGCGATGGCGGCCGCTTGCGGGCCAACGGGCAACGGGGGCCGCAATGGCGAGGCCGACTCCGTTGACGAAGTGATGAACCAAATTAAAGGGGCCCCAGGACACACAAATAAATACGCACAAATAAAAGGATTTCCCATATTTTCCCATATTTTTGGGGTTTTCGTCTTCCCCCCCATTTCCCATATTTTCCCATATTTTCTGGGGAATCGATTAATTGTGTCTGTGTGTGTTTTTTCCCCTCCTGACAAATGATCTACGAGTTCCACGCTGGGGTGCGTAGCCCGGGCGACCGGGAAGGTGCCGACCAGGGTGCGTGCTGCCCAGGCTCGGCGACCAGGCCCGACTTCACCCGCACTCTCCTCCACGAGCTCCGCGGCGCCAAGGGCCAGGCGCGACAGGCACGCCTCGACGGCCTGGCGGAG